TATTATTATTATTATTATTATTATTATTATTATTATTATTATTATTACTATTATTGTTATCAGCAGCAGCAGTAGCAATATTGGTGCTTTTACTTTGAAGGAACTCATGAACAACCAGTGGCATTGATGTATCCTGTGACCTCCTGATGTACTATTGTTAAATTGTAATCTAAAAAAAATAAATAATAATGTATTCACAGCAGCACACTTCCCTTCATTATGATAATAAATAAATAAATTTAAAAAAGCACCAGTGAAAACTTGAGCTGAGTTTGTGAAATTTCTTGAAGTTGAACGTATTAGGTTGTATTCTTCCAAAGAAAACTTATTCAAGTGTTTACAAATTTTTATTTATATAGCTATCAGCTAATAACCAATAAGCACACATGTTTAGCTATTAGTGAATTCATTTATTTATTTAGGTCAGTTTGGTGTTCTACTTTCTAAAATGATGGTGTATTTTATATTGCACTTTTTAAAGGTCATCTGATCACTGGCTTGTGTAAAACTGACACCTAGTGGAAATAAAGAGGCTACCGCTTTTCATTCTTCACTCAATATCTTTCTTTTTATCTTCTGGGGCCATGTCACTATTACCATCCATCCATCCATCCATCCATCCACTTTACCCACTTCATCCACTTCTTCCTTTCCAGGTCATGGGGTCACTGGTGAACATATCCAGCAGCCACTGTATGAGAAGCACGGGACACCCTGCATAGGTCTCCAGTCCAACTATTCTCTAATAAACATGTTGGATTTGTGCTCTTTGCAATGAAACAAAACCAAAAAAATGCAAAAGTGATTTATATTGATCCAACAGAATTAAATAAATAAAGCGGGACCTTCTTGTCTCCACTGGGTGAAGCTGTTGCTGTTGCGTCTTCTGTTTCGTGGAGTAATTGTTGTAAAACCCAGCTGGTGGCTCTCTTGAAACATTACTTCTGATTTATCTTCTGTTGTGCAACAGTGCAACCAGTGCCATTTATCATAAATAACAAATTATTATTACAAGTAGTTTTAAATGCATTTTAGCAGAATGTGGCAAGGAGGAGAGTTCCTCATATCAGTGAGTTCTAAATACCATAATTTCCAGACTATTTAGTGCAACCTAACATAAGCCACGCCCATTTTTTTATTTTATTGCACATATATAGGCCGCGCTTGTATATAAGACGCGAGTGTCCACATTGTAACATGAGATATTTACACAGAAATATAAATATATGTTTAAACTTGCAAGTAAATACATATCGGTAACATACACAAATACGTACAGGCTGTTTAAAAAAAAAAAAAAACAACCTGTAGCTTACCAGGACAGTCACTGATCGCTATCTTCAACTTCCTCCTGTGCACTGCATAGGAGGATGGTAGGAGAGAGGAAACAAAGTTTCCCTCCTTCCCACTGTGACCTGTTTGGTAATTTCATTGGTCAGATTTTATTTTTTTACCTTTATTTATACACAGTCTCATTGAGTCACGAGGACCCACCCATCAAGAGAGACATGTATTGGGCAGACACGTGAGTGCCCGGGTGTGACGAAGCTAAATGTTTTGGCGTTGTGAAGCTTGTAAGCCCTTCAAAATAAAATAAAGCATTAATTAGCTGCAGCGTTGTATAAGCCGCAGTGTTCAAAGCATGTGAAAAAAGTAAATGGACTGTACTTGTATGGCACCTTTCTATCGTATTAAGACACTCAAAGCACTTTACAACATAATCTGTGCCCTTATTCATCCAGCACTCTACTAGATCTATTTAAAGCTTAATCAGTGCTTTATCACATTCATACACACATCGAAGGCAATGAGGGGTTCAGTGTCTTGCCCAGGGACACTTCAGCATGTGAATGCTGGTGGAACTGAACCCCCAACTCTTGCATTGTAGGACAACTGCTCTAACCACTCAGCCACAGCTGCCCCACAAGTAGTGGCTTATAGTCTGGAAATTACGGTCTTTGCTAATGTGTTGCCGTGCTGAAGAGGCAAAATGCAAAACCTTTGACTTTAGATTTGCATAAACAGTTTTCCACAATTGGAACATTTTTTTGAAAACTTCTGTGAAACCATAAAACAAAATAATAATGCCATCACATTGTCATCACTGTACGTTTCCATATAATGGCAAAATTACTCCGCATTTAACCCATCCACCATGGATTTATTTGTAAGGCAAGGATGATTATGACAATTTTACCTCTCCAAAGAGATTTTTTTAAATCATTTTGACCAATACTGATTATTACCGATATTGGTGTCTGCCACATTTACCTCAACCCTCTTTCTAATGTGTTGACAACTGTTACAACCCTTGGAATGAGCCTAGGAGGTACAGGGTGTAACAAGTTGTAAACTAAACAAAATGCTAATAACTCAAAATCAGCCCAATTTAGCATTACAATAATTTAATCATCTAAGGGTTTGGGGAATTAATGAACAGAAGGGAAGCCATGAACTTCAGGGTGTCCAAGACCAAAACAAACAAAAGAACACCCCTTCTGCATAGAAACAGTAACCTCTTGTCTAACAAAACAAAAACTACAATTTCTAAGCTCTGTGGCTGGCCACGAAACAGGAGAAGTCAGTTAAAAATAAAATAGAGAACCCCTACCAAACTTCCAATCTAAACAAAGCTTCTTAAATAGAACTGTTCACAGAAGATGACCAAGATCAACCCAGAGTTACTAAAATGCTTGGTACACAGAGTTCATTTCAGTCAGCCACAGCTACAACAATGCTCAGAACCAAGCGGAAATGCCCAAGGAAAAAGTGGGCGTGGCACCTGAAGTTTTTATGCAGTCCACTGATGAGGAGGAAGTGATTCCAGGTGTGTAGCATGGTGTGACAGCAGGCCTGTAAACAAGCAAAGGAGGAGAACGGTTGTCCTCTAGTATCCAGAGAACCCCAAGAAATCAGTGGACATAACATTTTTCAATGTCTTCCTTAACAGTTTGGTTAAACCTTGATTTTTTTTTTTTAGTTAATTTAAAATGAGTAATGTACTTTACACCGTACATGTTGCACCGCCATATAAGTTGTATCAGTCCAAATATGTCTAATAAAGTGGAAAAATAAAAAATAAATAAGTAACTTCACCGTATAAGTCATATCTATTACGTGTCACCGCTGACCACACGGAAACGTCAGCCGGTGTTGTGCCAAAAATTGATTGGCTGTCAAATGGCAGCCGTGGGAGCATGCATGGAAGTACTTTAACAATAATTTAACAAGATTAACAATTATAGTAATGGTATGTCTCAGTCTAACGTTTGTTTAATAAAAGGACTTTAACGTTCAAATCAGTTGTATTTCAAACGTATCTGTTGCCTCGGTGCTCCGGGAGCGCAACGCTCTCCGTTTCTTGAAAATTTAACAAGAAAAGCACCTAAAACAATTATTCGTTTGCTCGGAATTATAGTAAATGTGTGTCTCAGTTGAACTTTTACTTAATAAATGCACTTTAATGGTCAAATTAGCTGCATTTCGCAGGGGCGGTGCATCTGGTTTGACGGTTCCAAGCAGCGAGCAGAACAAAGGTGGCAGGCTATGGCAAGCTGATTGTGTCATTATTAGCTGTTGAAGATTTTCAGTCATCCAGGACATGGTAAATTAAAAAGAAAAGATCAAGAAAAAAACAATTAAGTATAATAAATAAAGTCCTGTTTTTTTTGTATTGAACTTCTTTTGAATTTGTCATTATTGCCACATTTACTTATTACATGATGCAACGGCATGCCTTACTGCTACTACTACTCTGCTGCCATCTGGTGGCTAAAAGTGGTACTTCTCACAGAATTAATGAAAACGGTCATTTCTCAGCAAAAAATTGGTTTATAAATTTTGGGAAAAAAATCCATAAATACGTGGCATCGGCCTATAATTCACAGGGCATGTAAATTATGCAACCAACTGTGACTTATAGGGCAAAAAAATATGCAACTCGAGGGCCCTCTAGTGGCTGCAAATTGTAGTGTTCAATATTTTCCATGTCAGAATGACTGAAATCGTCAGATCTCAGCCAAAAATTGGGTTATAAATATGAGAAAAAAAACATAAATAAATTGATTCAATGTATAAGTCGCAGGGTATGCAAGTTTATGCAAAAAAGTGTGACTTATGTGGCAAAAAGTACGGTATATAGGAAAGTAAGCAATAAATTCCTTAGTAGGTTAGCAAGGAATAGAAAAAGACACACAAAATGATATAGCAAGTGTCCCATGTCCCTTAAACTCACTGTGTTCTTCGTGATCGAGCTCAGATATTGAATTTAAGGGCCAAAAGTAACTCTTTCTGCAAGTGCATGAAGACATATTTACACTTTAACAGCGCTACTCAAAAGCAAGTCGTAAAAGTATGCTGTAACAGTCTGAGCATGAGCATGAATTACACACCTGACCACCCATCCCATAACTGCAGTCCCAGCTCCGGTCATGTTTTATTGTTATTTTACTGCCTGTTCCCTCCTGCACTGCCTCACCACTCAGGTCCAAAGATCACTGCACTGTTTGCTCTGGGCTGCTGGGTGCAGGAGGAGATCCGAACTCTTCATTCACGAAACTGAAACCTCGTTAGAACTTCGACAGTACTGTCGACACATTGTCTTTTGTACAAACAACGACCAAGGCGAAATTCTTTGGCCATCCGTTCAGTAGGCAAAAGAATTGGATTTATGTATTTTGTGTCAGAAAGATGAAAATGGGAAACTTAACTCTGTAGCATTTCATTTCACTTTGTTGCTGAAATCAAACCTGTGCTCAAGGTAGGTGGTTGATTTTCATTTACGTTAACACTAAGGGGAAATGTTGTTATTTTAGTGGACCAACATTTCAACAAGCAATCACACGAGATCGAGTGAAATAAACACTGAGGCCTTGGGCTTCACCGTGGCTCTGATCCTAAAGAGGAAGCAGAGTGAAAGTGGCAACAAATTTACACTTCCTCATCTTTTTGTTCAACAAATTGTTAAACAAGTTCATTGTAAAAGCTCAAAATTAATGAATATTTGTGAACAAGATGCATCTTTAACCTTTTTTTTTTTGGATTACAAATTAGAAGGCTGAAAGTCAGTATGGGACTGAGGGTTGAGAAGGGAGTGGCTGGATAAAACACGAGTTTGGTAAATTTAGACTCATACAGTGTCTATTATGTTTCATGTTGTCTGTCAGAATGCATAGATACATACACAATTATCTCATTATTTTCTTACCAATTTTTATTTTTTTTATGTGTTTTGGTTTAATGAGGGATTTTGCTTCAGGTAAATACCAAGTTTAAAAAATAGTAACAAGATAACTTTCTGTAATGCATATTGGGCATTTTTTGTTGCATCATTTTCCATAGTCCAATGAACGATTGATCTTACTTCCTCAGCTAATGTTTGAAAAAGGGTATATATTTTATAGTTATCTAAAATTTTACAACATTGGGAAGAAATGCTCCCTTACTAATGATGGAATGTCACTTTTTTTGGCTACAATGTTCCTTTAAAGTTATCAGCTTTATGTGTATACAAAAATCAGTTAAAAGATGCTTCATATCTTTAACCATGGCTTCATTTGTGACCTCATATGCTCCATGTACAAACATTCACTTTGATCAGGTGTGAAATATGGAAGAACTGAACTGAAAATGGGATCAGTGATGTCGTTCTTTGGCAGCTTGTGTGGAAAAGAGGAGAAGCAAGGTGAGCTCGGACGAACTTCAAATATTTAATAGCTATGTAGCAATTCTTGCTCTAAAGGAACTTTTGCATCTTTCACACGTTTAACTTTATTTGTTCTCTGACCTTTACCAGAGGAGGAGAGACACCTGCGAGCTAACGACAGACCTTTCAACCTGTCTTATAAGTATGCTGTAAGTGCAACAAAAAAAAAAATCCCAACTTAATTTGCAGTGGGAAGCGGCTGGGGTGAGAATCAGCACCTTCAAATCTGAGGCCATGGTCCTCAGCCGGAAAAGGTGGATTGCTCTCTTCAAGTCGAGGGTGAGGTTCTGCCTCAAGCGAGATGGTGTAGAGGCAGGGCAGCCGACTCAGGACCCAAAAGTTTCAGGTTCGATCCCCAGTCATTGCACCTCTCGTGGTGTCTCTGAGCAGCACACCCTATCCCCAAATTGCTCCCTGGGTGCTTTCAATAGCTGCCCACTGCTCCAACTGGTGGTGTATGGGTTAAATGCAGAGAGCCAGTTTCACCATTGTATGGAAACATACAATGATGACAACATATAACACATTATTATTATTATTATCATTATTTTTATAAGTGTAGGAGTTCAAGTGTCTCGGGGTTTTGTTCAGGAGTGAGGGAAGAATGGAGAGTGCGACCGACAGAGGGAGTGGTGCGGCGTCTGTAGTATCGCGGACTCTGTGCCGGTCCAATGTGGTGAAGAGGGAGCTGAGCTGTAAAGCAAAGCTCTCCGTTTACTCGTCGGTCTACGTTTCTACCCTCACCTATAGTCATGAATTCTGGGTAGTGACCAAAAGAATGAGATTGTGGATACAGGCAGTTTGAAATGAGTTTCCTCTGCAAAGTAGCTGGACTCTCCCTTAGAAATAGGGTGAGAAGTTCAGCTATCTGGGAGAGACTCGGACTAGAACTGCTGCTCCTTCACATCGAGAGGAGCCAGTTGAGGAGGTTTGAGCATCTGGTAAGGATGCTTCCTGGGCACCTCCCTAGGGAGGTGACTACATCTCTCTGTTGGCCTGGGAACGTCTCGGAGTCCTCCCAGAAGAGCTGGAAAAGGTGGCTGTGAAAAGAGATGTCTGGTCCTCCCTGGTCAAGCTGCTGCCCCCCCCCGCGACCCATCTTTGTAATAAATGGAAGATAATGGATAGATGGATCTTAATTTGCAACATTTTAGCTTTTCAGAGTCAAAGTGAACTGTTCCTGTGCTTTAAAAACACTGGATAAGTTAAACCATCTGGTCATATTTATTCCTTGTTAACCTCAGAGCACCATAACTGCCATCACTGTTCTTTTACAGAACAACGCCATCAAGACCTCCAAATACAACATTTTCACCTTCCTGCCTCTCAACCTGTTTGAGCAGTTCAGGAGGCTCGCCAATGCTTACTTCCTCTTCCTTCTTATCCTTCAGGTAAACACATTTCTTGTTGTTGTTTTTTTTTTTTGTCTTAACATCAAATGTTAAAATGGAAGCAGGTCTTTCTATTTACTTTGTGTCCAGTTTCTTGAATAGGATGAAAAATGTAACAGATAAAGAATTTTAAGAGTTATTTTTGTGTGTTGACAGCTCATCCCACAAGTCGCCTCTCTGTCCTGGTTCACCACGGCTGTGCCTTTGATCCTGGTGCTGGCAATGACTGCGGTCAAAGATGCCAGCGATGACATAGTACGGCAAGAATCACAACATTTAACTGTTAAATATCTAAAATAACTAAAAAGTGACCTATTAATGAGTTGTTGTTTTTTTCTATCAATTAGAACAGACAGAGATGTGACAGGCAGGTGAATAACCGGCAAGTGAACGTCCTCGTCGATGGAGAGTGAGTATTAAATGGTCCATAAAAATGTTTAAAATTATATACATTTATAAAGGCAATGATATTTTTGTTTCATTTTTATAGACTAAAAAAAGAAAAATGGATGAATGTTCAGGTTGGAGACATAGTGAAACTGGAGAGTAATCATTTTGTCACAGTGAGTATGAGCTTCAAGGAAAGAGTAAAGGAATTTAGTGTATAAAAGCAAATAAATGGGAACTTACTGCCCCTTTTCCATAGTACCTTATAGCACCGGTACAGCACAGTTCGGCTCAGCTCGGTACGGTATACGTTGTGTTTCCATTATGCTTTCAGTACCGGTTCCAGTGGGCGGGGTTCAAATTGACATCATGCGCCTCACCAGCAGGTGGCGGTGAGACGCTGAAACAGGTTTCAGTACAGGGTGAGAATTTATTTTGAAGTTTCTGGTAAATTAAAAAGAATACAGATTATTAAAATGATCGACTTAAACTATACACACACACCTATATATATATATATATATATATATATATATATATATATATATATATTTTTTTTATGTTTTAAAAATCATTTCCACCATCCGTCCCAGACCAGTCCCGGTCCACCCATCTGCCAGGATCGGGGTTCGGCCTTCATGATCACTCGAGGCCGGGGTCCGGGCAACGGCCTTCTGCGAGTCAGCAACTCGTAGGATTCTCCGTGGTGACCAGTGGAGCTCGGAGCCCACAGAGAACGCAAGGCCAGGATCCAGAGCACCGAGTCGGTAGCACGGAGGATCTTCTGCGGTGACTGGATAAGTTCGGAGCCAGGGAGATGACGCCCTGCATGGCCTAAGGGGGCTCAGCGGCTCCGGTAGAAAGGAATGCGGGAGTTGGGGACCAGTGGAGCTCCATCTAGCTCACTCTGAATTTTTTCGTCGGTCACCAAACACAAAAAAAACCCCGCTGCATTTCAGCATTAGACCACGATGTTGTCATTACTGTTTTTAAAATCTTAAAAATAGATCCAATTGCTCCTCGAGTTCGAACACCAGTAATGGCAAATGGTGGATTGAGTGTTGTAAAATTTTCTCAAACCCCTCTAGTGACTCTGCCCCATGACCAATCAGTGACCGACAGTGTTCTGACATCATGTTTTTGGTGCCAGCTCGGCTCGCTTGCTACCCCAGAGAAGAAGGGACTAAAAAAGGTGCCAGTTCCACAAAAAAAATCATAGTGGAAAAAGGCTCGGAACCGTACCAAACCGAGTCAAGTTGTGTTGAAGAGGAGCTATGGAAAAGGGGCATAAGTCAAGTTTACACCAGTGCAGTTTGTCTATAGTATTTTTAAGACGCACTTAAAATACTTTAATTTTCTCAAAAAAATTACAGCGGGTTTTATAATCCGGTGCACCTTATGTATTAGTTCTGGTTGTGCTTATCGATTTTATGTGGTACACGCCCTCAAATATCTGTCAAAATGAATTTGTTTCACTTAATGTGTCTTATAATCCGTTGCACCGAAAAATACGGTAATTATTTAACTTTTATCACTTTAACACTACATCCCTCAGGCAGACCTCCTGTTGTTGTCCAGCAGTGAGCCTCTCAATCTGGTCTATGTGGAAACTGCTGAGTTAGATGGGTGAGTCTTCAGTCCAGTCTTTGGTTTTTGTGGACCTGCCATTGGTTGTCCCTTCACTTATGTCCTCTTGATGTCTCCCAGTGAAACCAATCTAAAAGTGAAGCAGGCCCTGACTGTAACTGGAGAGATGGGAGACAATATTGAAGCTTTTTCTACCTTCAGAGGTGATTAAATATTTGAAATACATCATACAGGTTTAAAAGCTTTGGTTAACTTAAATATGTGAACGCTTGTGTCTCAGGTGAAGTTCGATGCGAGCCTCCCAACAACCGCTTAGACAAGTTCAAAGGAAACCTGACGGTTAAAGGACAAACTTACGGTCTGGACAATGACAAAGTCCTGCTCAGAGGATGTACTCTGAGAAACACCGAGTGGTGCTTCGGTCTGGTCATCTTTGGAGGTAAAAGTGTTCGTAATAAATATTGTGACGTTTCTTGCTGGCTTGAATGAGTTAGTTTGGGTCTTTAATGTGTCATATGTGGAATATAGTGCATGTCTGTGGTTTACTAGTCAAGTCCACAAGGGCCCAGCAGATGGGGCTTGTGCTACATTCAATAAACACAGGCATTAAAGCCCAGTGCAAATATTCAGGCCCTGTGATGGTTTTGGGACCTGTCCAAGGTGTCCCTCTGCCATTCACCAGTGACCCCCGTGATCCAGAATGGAAGAAGTGGGTAAAGATAATGGATAATGGGTGGATGGAAATAATCATAACATGATTACAGTAAAAATATATATATATATGGTAAAGATTACCACAAAATAACTAACTCTACTGTTTGATGTAACCATCTGCATGGGAACAGTATTTTATGCAACAATTCAGGCTCATTATTTTTATTGTTACACTTTGTAACTTACTATTTTTTATTATTGTACAATTGTACATTTAATTACGTACATGTGATGGCACAATTGTTTGAACATGAGGCTGAATCTTTTCAGGTCCTGACACAAAGCTCATGCAGAACAGTGGGAAGACAACATTTAAACGGACCAGCATTGATCACCTGATGAATGTCCTGGTGTTGTGCGTGAGTTGATGCACACACAAATACAGAAAAAAACACAATCTGCATTTACTTTATACAATTAGTTTACATTAGCAGAGATGTCTTATTATGAATGCACCATTTATAAATAAGTCTTCAAAGCTCTGGAGGTAAAAAGTTCAATTTGACAATAAATTGTTTTTTAGATCACAAACACACACACACAAGCACACACACACACACACACAGGTTTGTTTTGCTGTCTTTATGAGGCTTTTGCATTGACTTCCATTCATTTTTCATTCATTTCTATAGCCTAACCCTGACCTTTACCCTAAACCTAACCATTACCAGTTCATACCTAACCCACCAATGGGACTTCTTCTTATGGAGCCTGGGACCCATAAGGAGCAGTTGGTCCTCACAATGTAGTATAAGTTGGAAAAACGGGCCTTACAAAGTAACCAAAAAGGTCCATGCTCAATAATCCAGGTATACAATCCAACAATTTTCAGTCAGGTCATCTGGACAGTTTTTTTGGGTTTTTTTGCTGAAACGTTTCACCTTCCATCCAGAAGGCTTCATCAGTCAAGAAAACACACAACACAAAACTGATTCTTCCCCCAAATAGCTTACTCCAAAGTGGAAGAAACCAGTTATGTTGGTGCTAAGATGGTGTCTTTGGCACGCCCCCTCTTCTTGTGCCAGCCCTCTTCCTCGTCGACAGTCATGTCAAACTGATTCAAAAGTACAAAGTAGCATAAACAAGGACGGATGGACGGATGGAAGGAAAGACAGACAGACAGATAGACAGACAGACAGACAGGCAGATAGATATTCTTGTCTTTTTGAGGATTTGTTTATTTCACTATTTCTTTTATAAAATTTGTTATGTATATTTTCTCATCAGATTTTTGGGTTCCTGGTGACTATGTGTCTTATTCTGGCCATCGGCAATGCAATCTGGGAGGTGAAGGAGGGCTCCGTGTTCACGGTGTTTCTCCCTCGTGAAACCGGCGTTAACGCTGCTCTGTCATCCTTCCTGTCCTTCTGGTCCTACGTCATTGTCCTCAACACCGTGGTGCCAATTTCTCTTTACGTCAGGTACATTTCTGCACAGCAGTATCGTGGCACAAGAGAGTACCAGTTGTTATTAGTGACATTTCATGATTGTGTGATAACCCGGCACCCGTTAATGACTGAATGTCAGTGTGGAGATCATCCGTCTTGGGAACAGCTTCTTCATTGACTGGGACAGGAAGATGTATTACCCAAAGAACGACACTCCTGCTCAGGCGAGGACCACCACACTCAACGAGGAGTTGGGACAAATTAAATACATCTTCAGTGACAAGACCGGCACCCTGACGCAGAA